TATTCAAAAAATAAATACTACTTAAAATTTTTACTAGATAAAATAGGTAAATCTATTCATAATTATGATTAGATTATTAGCATAATTAGCCAAGCAAGGTATTTTTTTCTCCTAGCCCTTGAATATGGTGCTTAATAAAAAATATTTATTATGTATGGGTTTAATTCAATATCGAATCACCAAAAATGTTTGAGCACAACACTAAAAATTACTGAAAAAAATTGATTGCTTAAACGTGTCCATGGACTACTGTAATAAGTTAATCGAAATCTCACATACACCATAGCAAAGAACTCTTTTCCATAAATAATTTTAAAAAAATAGAGCTCTCTACGACTATTTCTGCAACCTGTAAGTTGTTTCAAAAGTACCATTTGTGTACGTAAAATGCTTAGGAATTGTTGAAAATATTACTTTGCGATGGCGTATCTTAGATTTCGATCAACTAATTACTGTAGTCCATTTTTCAGTAAATTTTAGTGTTGCGCTCAAACACTACTAGTAACTCGATATTGACTTGAACTCATACATAATACATACATATGGATTTAAAGAAGACAAAATTTCCAAGAAATCGAAAAAAATTCGTCTTGGTACAATCAAAATAGACATAGATAGAAGCATTTTCACATTTGCGTGGCGACATAGACATTCAACAATATCAGACGCTATATGAACGGTTTGTCGAAAGAAAACACTAAAATACAACTTTGCCGTATGTTTAGGATGCAAAAGAAATATTTCTCTCATTCTTTACTTACTTTTTACAGCGTGACGATATAAGACATTTATTTACACAAAAGTCGTTTTAGTTCGTTTTTACGCTGTAAAAATCGGTTCATGATCCTAACGAAGTTCAGACAACCGCGCGAAAAAGTGTCAACATACCATAGTTTGAAAATATACACTTTAGACAGCTGACGAGTTGCGCACGTGCATGTGAATATTGGGTTTCAAGATCGAAAATTTTTCATGGACATTATTTAAAGAGACTGCAGCGACCTAAGGTATGCTTAGCGTCTATTAAACTAAATGAAACAGTTTATTGATGAAAAATGTAATATTATGGGTGGAGAAAAAAAACTTGTAATCTTGCGTCTCAAAGCAAAGTGAGCAGTGCTCGGTCGCTAACGCAGTACCGGAATACTGTGCGTGGACTAATTTTGTCCACTGAATTACGGAACGTCGTATGCTTATACAAGTCCCATACCGTTCGAAAAGGACAAAATTAGTACACGGACAGTGTACAAAAGGCTCTAATCTAACACACTAAGCGCGAAAATTTGACTGCGGTCGAATCTTACAATTTTGAACATCCTTCCACCTTGAGAAAATGAGAATTTTCCAACATAGATTACAAAATTAGTAAGATAGATTACACAAAGTAAACAAAGTAAACAAAGTAACAAAGTAAACAAAGTAAATTAGTAACATAGATTACACAATTTCTGTGTCTGAGTCACCTCTAAAAACATAAGATAATACATACCATTTTAGAATAAAAAATCAATCAAACAACAGAAACATCAATAAAAATTCATATTGTTCGCGGCCTTTAATCTAGCTACTGTATTCTTAAACATATTCGGCTATGATACTAACATACGTAGATAAAATCAATGCAAATGCTCAATAAGTGTTGCGTCATTGGAGATAAAAAAAATAGAATACAAGTTATAAGTAATCACCAATGCTCGCGACGCGTCAGTTCGAGGCTTCTGTAAGTAAATGTATAAATTGTCACATAAAGTACCACTACGAATTTGAGGCGTGGAAAACTGCTGCTCTGATATTTGCACTGAAATGTGTTTAACGGCTAACAGGGGGCTTAATTATTTATCATTTTTCAATTACAGTACTAGGCTATAAAAGTGAAAAAAAATGTTTTTTTTCAATAACACAAATGATAACCCTTTTCAATAGCCTATTTAAAAGTATTTTGTCAAGTTTGATACTTAGAAACAATTGAGTACAATTATAATGAGGGTATTGGTCCTCGACGCAAGCTATACGCATATCTAAGCTACCTGTCCTAGAAATCCAAGATCAAGCATTCAGCTAAAGGAGCCTATGTAGTTTCATTTTGTTCGATAGCCAATTGGCCATAGTCGCAACCAAAAGCTAGCCATAAGATGAACTGTAGCTACTCCCGTGTACAATTTTCTTGAATTTAGTATTCATTTTTTATCATTTTCCATAAATTAATTTCACTTTGTTATATGTACAAGTAGCTGCAGTTCATCTTATGGCTAGCTTTTGATTGCGACCATGGCCAATTGGCTATCGAACAAAATGAAACCAATTGGGGTACCATCGATTAATGCTTACTCTTGGATTTCTACGACAGGTAGCTTAGATATGCGTATAGATTGCGTTGAGGACCAATACCCTCATTATTATTGTACTCAATTGTTTCTAAGTATCAAACTTGACAAAATACTTTCAAATAGGCGATTGAAAAGGGTTATCATTTGTGTTATTGAAAAAAAACATTTTTTTTCACTTTTATAGCCTAGGACTGTAATTGAAAAATGATAAATAATTAAACTCCCTGTTAGCCCTTAATTAACCTGCATATTCAGGTACAAACGGTTCAAATTTTACTACTGCGTTATTTCATATTTCATTAATAATTGTAACGAGTTACCAAACAGGGGGCTATTTTATGCGTCAAAGAGAATAAAGACCAGAACGCCTTTTTAGAATAAGTTGACACTGTGTTAGTACTCTCTAATGTTCATAATTTTTAAAATATTAAGATCAAACGATTAACTTACATCATTACAAATCTGGGTCAGTTGAATTGGGTGCACAACTCTTGTCTTTGCCATAGAGAAATTGGTTAGAATCAGTATCACTAATACTGTCACGTCACGATTACTCATTGAATTTTTCGGAAGTTCTTCAAAAATTATGTTTGCCTTTTCCTCTTCGAAAACAAACGCGTTTTCAATGTACAACATAGAGATTCGTGAATCCATAGTTATGTTAGTAACTTCCATAATTATATTAGTAACAAGTCTAACTTCCTGAGTAAAAAAACTAATTTGAGTTATACTGTACTCTTTGAGACATCAAGCGGTACTTACGCCTTACAATCTGACCACCTGCCAGTTTGATTTTTCTCCAGTCCTCGCGAACATCCACTAATATTTTCTAATAGTTCGTAGGAGAGAGGCAGCTGTGTAAGAGACTATCTCCACTTCTTATATCTCTCCACGTGGACTTAAAATGTGGTTTTGAGTGTCCAATCAGTAAACGGGAAACAGAAATATCAAAGAATTTTTAGAACTGAGCATAAAGTTTCATTATATGCTGAGCAAAGCGAAGTCATTCCCTTTCGAACTCCTATGATTTTCCAATACTTTTTCTTGACGTGGTATTTTGAGTACTGCTTTATCGATCGTGTTTCAAAAATTGAGCAATTTTTATAATAACTTTACAAAAACCTCAATATGAATAATTATCAGCGCTTGTACGAAAGTCTATGTTACCAGAATACGCTTGACAAAAAGCATTATGATATAAAGCGCAAGATAATAAAGAGAGAATGGCAAGTATGGCAGGCGAGAGCAGCGTCACTCCACGCTCCTCATCATCATTATCATCATCATTCATTCATTCATTCATTATTTTCATCGCCATCATCATCATCTCATCTCATATATGTCAAGAATCGCTATTTTCAGAACCCACGAAAACAGCCTAACGTTATTATTTAAAATCTAGGAAAGATACGATAATTCTGATTTGGTAAATCGATTCCTCGTAAAAAGTGACCAACCAAATAGTGCATTCATAGTCCCCGAAAAACGCAGTATTAACTAACTACGAATGATAAAAGAAAAAATTCCCGACGAAAAAACGCTCTTACGCAAAACGCGGTCTCACGCGGTCTCACGTAGTCTCACGGCCAACTTCATATCATTGATTTAATTGATTAATAGGGCTAGGCTAAATGTATCTATGTATAGACGCTGCGCATCGATTTGATATGTATGAGTTTTATTTAAACGATAAATGTAGATTTTTCTCTCGACATCAAGATTCTCGCAATTATCCTGGGTAGCCCGGTCGGGGCATCAGGTCGAAGTTGAAACTCGAAGATGACTTTCTCTACAAAATTACTTGTTTTACACGAGAATATTACCCTAGAATGACCACTCGGAGCATCGCAGGTTGATATAAGAAATCGACAATGGCTTTCTCCAGAAAGCCGTGATTTTGCCGCGGAAATATCACCCCGAGTAACCTGCTCGGCGCACTAGGTCAAAATCCGGACTTGGCGATGACTTTCTCCAGGTAGTAACTAAGAATTTACGTCAGCGAAGAGGAGGAAGAAAAGAAAAAGATGCGTTGGAGGAAGAAAATTAAACCTTATTCTTAAATTTCTGTGTTAAGTAATAAGTTATGTTCCTTTTTTTATATATTTAAGTGTATTTACTTCGTGAGAAGTATTTACACTATCTGTTTTATTTCAAGAAATTTCTATTGCATACAAACAAATTTTTTCAAAACTTACATCGTTTTCAAGTTTAAATTATGCTCCTAAACTATTCAATTGGTAATCTTAAATCGTAAATGATAATCAATTTCTTGGCTATGATATTATTGAAATCAAATAAGTCACGTCAAGTATTGAACAAACTAACAATTTTTTGTTTCAAACCAATAGCCTACTGAAATGTTTACAATAGAATAATTCCAAACCGTGGTAATACTTTTTTCAAAAGTTTAAATAAGGGCAAGTATGACAGTCTGATTCTTTTGAGTCTAAATTTAAAATACTTTTGTATTTAAAATTTTTGAAACTCTCAATCTCAATCCACCATTTATTAATTACTTAGCTATAATAGTAATGAAATCAAACATATTAAGACAAGTACTCACGCAAAAGTAATATTTTTATTTTACTTTAATAATATTACTAAACGATAACGACAATGCAGAGTTTGTAGAGGCGTCCATCCCTACACGTTAGCCGCGTTCGGATCATCACCTCACCTCAGCAGCAGATCGATCAAGTCTCTGTTGCCGGAGCTCACGGCCAGTTGCATCGGCGTGTCGCCTTTCTCGTCCTGGACATCGACTCGCACCCTATCTCCAGCAAACTTGAACATTGTACTCGCCCACCACAGGTTGTATTTGTTATCTCCGCAGATGTAGTGCAGAGGTGTCCACCCCCATTCGTTGGGCTGATTTGGATCCGCACCTCGTTTCAGCAGCGCCGCAAACATCTTCGAGTTCTTCCAGAGCAGGGCCGTGAACAGCGGTGTCAGCCCCTCGCTATCTCGAGCGTCGATCCGCAGGGGCCGATCCTCGGCATCGCAAAAATTCAGCAACACCTTCGTCACGTGATGATTACATTTTTTCCTGGCGAGAAGGTGCAGAGGCGTACATTCATCCATGTTAGCCGCGTTCGGATCGGCGCCTACCGTCAGCAAGAGCTTGGTCAACTCTCCGTTGCCGGAATTCGCGGCCAGGTGCAACGGCGTGTCGCCTTTCTCGTCCTGGACATCGACTCGCACCCTATCTCCAGCAAACTTGAACATCGTATTCGCCCACCACTGGTCGTATTCGTTACCTCCGCAGATGTGGTGTAGAGATGTCCACCTCCTTTTGGTGGGTTGATTCGGATCGGCGCCGTGTCTTAGTAGCGCTTCAAACATCTTTCCGTTCTTATGGAGCAGGGCCGTGTACAACGGTGTCAGCCCTTCATTATCACGAGCGTCGATGCGCAGGGGCCGATCCTCGGCATCGCAAAAATTCAGCAACACCTTCGTCACGTTATGATTGCATTCTTTCCAGGCGAGAACGTGCAGAGGCGTACATCCTTCCATGTTAGCCGCGTTTGGGTCGGCGCCTCGTCTCAGTAGCAGCTCAGCTATCTCCCAATTGTTGTTCTTCAGAGCCATGTGTAGTGGTGTATCACCGTTCTTGTGTCGGGCATCTATGTGCACAACAATATTGTTGCCTTCGCACAAGTTGAAGAATAGCTCCGCCAGATCGTAAGCGTTCTCCGTCACGCCAATAACATGCATAGGAGTCGTTCCGTCTTTGCAGGACAGATTCGGATTAGCGCCTTTTTCCAGCAGAAGCTTGACTAACTGCGGCTCGTACAAGGCCTTCTCTATGACCAAGAACAGCGGTGGATCGATCGATTTCGATTGCCCGAGGTAATTCGGATCCTGGCCCAACTTGAGGAACGCCTCCATGACCTCGTACAGTCCCAACTCACAAGCCACGTGGAAATGCGTTTTTCCCGACTTTTTATCCTCGTAGTTCACGTCGAATTTGTTGTATATTCGGAACAGATCGTGGAAGACCCGTGTAGGGAAACTGTGCTGGGCCGCGTAGAGAAGCGCCGTGGCACGAAACAGTGATGGTTTTTTGTTTTCGTCGTGGCAGAGCTCGTCCTGGTAGCCACTGCGCACGACGAATTCGATGAGCGAGACTTTTTTACCGGGGACTTCTCCACTTTTGTTGAGGTTCGAATTTTGGAGCCTCAAATCCTCCGTGAGAAGAAAATCGATTTCTGTGGGCCAAAAAAAGTTCCGGAGATCCGGGAGTTCGCCCTCCCAATGTTCTATCAAACTGTATAATGCTGTTTGTAATCTGGCTATTTCTCGTAATCTGGTTGTTTTTACTAATCTACGCAGTTTTCGTGTATAGACTTGGCTATCCATTTTTCCGGAATTAGGAGCAGTAGTAGTAGTAGCAGTAGTATTGCAGATCTCTTTCGTCTGTAAAACATTTATATTTAATTATTTTACTATATTTTATAAAGATCGTAATAGTTGTTTGTGCAATAAGTACCTAAAATAAGCAGTTTAGGGTTGCTAGGAAATCATCACCAAGGCCACTTAATTATTTAATTAGATCCCTTCATGATAATTCGACTGACTACAAAGTTACAAATGAATGTTTAGCTGAAGTACTTAAACTTATTGACTCCTCAACCGAACCACTGCGTGAAAACTCTTGATAAATATCAAAAATACTTTGATAAACAAATTGCCTAAAGAGCAATTGTATTACTGTTAAAGTTGTCTTAAAAATTTCCAAAACAAAAACAGAAGAAAATCTAAAAAAAATTTTGACACTTCCAAAGTTTAGGATTGTTTCTGACAAATTGAAAGGATATACATTTTATTGTATTACTTTAAATTTATTTTCTTACAAAAAAAACGACTTTATCGATCCTCAGTATATGGCTGATTACTGTCAACTCAACCGGTCAAATTTTTTTTCTATATCTAACATGATGAACACATTGTTTGCCATGTCAGAAATTTATAGGAAAATTGATAAAACGATTGGGGCCTTCTACCCTTTTTCAGAATTCCAAAGTTGGCATTTTTCGCATTTTTCCGTATAATTTATAAAATAATCGCAAAATATTTCATTAAGCTCGAGCTCAATGTAGAGAGACTCAATAGGAAAAGCGAGACGAAGATTTTATTTTATTGGAAATTGTCAACATTTTCAGAATAAATGGGTTCCAAAGCGACATGATCACTCTGGAGGCGTCTACAATAGAAATAATCAAGAAAAAACAAAATTCGGTTCTAAAAGACTTTAAATTTTAGGTAATTTTGTACTCTTTAAGGCTATATAATTACTTTTCGGGCTAAACTTTGTCTAGTATGCGTAAAATTTGGCAAAATGAAAAACAAAAACAATTTTGGTTTAAGAGGATATAGAAGCTAATAAAATATCAAAATTTCAATCCAGCTTTTTGAAATTTCTACTGAATAATTTGCCAAAAAGCTCTATGGCGACCTAAAAACATCAAAATGAAGGTTGCCATAAAGCATTTTCGAGAGATATTCAGTAAATGTTTTAGAAAACTGGATTGAAATTTTCATATTTTGGCTGGCTTCTATATCTATTTAATACGCGATTAAAGAACTTGCACGTTTTATATTGTAGCTTAAGTAAAAATGTATTCCGTCGGGACTATATGTAACTGCCCCAAAATCTTAGATACACGTTTAAGGTTTGATACAAGACTTTTATTGTAGAGTTTGCACATACAAAATGGATATTATATTTTCGATACACTTTTAGTTATAATGTAGGTACCACGCAATTGATTCAATGATAGCTCAGTTACAAAAATATAATATACTTTATATTGGGATGGTTTCAATAATAGTTATTGATAATTAACAAGTGTCATCATTGCTACAGACCACACCCATGCACTCATTCGAGCAGAAGTACATCGTTGGGCAATACTTTTTGTTGAACAACTATGAACTTTTAATCACATTTTTGAGAGATTCAAAATCTGAGCGTCCACAGTAACGAATGGCGAATGACTGTACGTCATATAAAAGATCAGAAATTACAGAGCTTGCGCATAATTGATCGATCGCCCCTCACAAAATTGGAGGAACCACAGAGCTAACGATCCTCATTTACCGGAGGTTTTATATACCTTAACTTCATCCCCGCTTAGGTGGTTGCTGCATACATCGCGAGGTTGATATTGGTCAATAATTGACACAGGTCTAGCACGCGCGCGTAACTAACGGGCCTCATGTCGCTCTTTTTCAAAAATCGAGAAAATCGCAAAAAGAGCGCAAAATCATGCGAAACATTGTATCACATCAATAATATTCTTCTCTGATTGATACGAATTTATTATTATAGGTAAAGGATAATTTGGTTACTGTCTAAGGTATTCAGACAAGAGCTAAGAAATATTATTTTGCAAAGCCATGCGTAGCGAATCAAAAGGCGCAAAATCATGCGAAACTTTGTATCGCATCAATAATATTCTTCTCTGCTCGATATGAATTTATTATTATGGGTAAAGGATAATTTGGTTACTGTCTAAGGTATTCAGACAAGAGCTAAGAAATATTATTTTGCAAAGCCATGCATAGCGAATCAAAAGGCGCAAAATCATGCGAAACTTTGTATCGCATCAATAATATTCTTCTCTGCTTGATATGAATTTATAATTATGGGTAAAGGATAATTTGGTTACTGTCTAAGGTATTCAGACAAGAGCTAAGAAATATTATTTTGCAAAGCCATGCATAGCGAATCAAAAGGCGCAAAATCATGCGAAACTTTGTATCGCATCAATAATATTCTTCTCTGCTTGATACGAATTTATTATTATAGGTAAAGGATAATTTGGTTATTGTTTGAAGTTTTCTAACAAGAACTTGGAAATATCAATTCGTTTTTTTGTTTTTGTGCGAGTAATTTAGTACACTATCAAAGCGAGGAGTGTCGTAGCCCGCTGAAACTCTCGAAATCAGCTGACCAAGTGCCTTTTTTTCTGCTTGTGGAAGTTGATCATGTCCGCTTTTTAGTAAAATGAGATTTTATGATATAGTGAGATGAAAATTGAATAACGTGGCCGGTTTTGGCCAATTCTGCGCGACGTTGAGTCATTATTCATATTTTGACCCATCTACTCACAATAGATGTACAGAAATAGAAAATTAATTTTTGACACTTCTAATAATTGTCTTACAGCAGCTTTTCACGGTTAATTACCTATAGAGGCTCAGTATAAGTTATGAAATCTATGTTATCAATTTTTATATCTAAAGCTTTTACTTGACCATAATGGAAATTTTGCGATAGTGTCTTAACGAAATTTTTTACCAGTGATCATAGGTCAATTTCTTTTTCGTACGATTGAACAGTAAATATGTGTCTTATTCTCTCCATCCTGTAAAAGTGGTGAGGTTTTTAGAGTGAACAGTTTACAAGCGCTGTGATTGGTCGTTTAGTAGCTTGCAATTGTTTTATAGTGGCGCGCAAATACGAGTGTTGTTGAAAGTTAAGAAAGTGTAATATTAACCTATTGATGGCTTAACATTAATTTTGATTGGTTTCCTCGAGGGAAAGCTGAGGCTAAAAGTTTACCCATCGCATATTTTTACAGTTTATAACATAATCTTCTTTTTTTTATTTTTCTACTTTAAGTATTGAAAAATGTCAAAATAAGATAAGAAAGAAAAGAGCGCGCGCAGTACTACATTAATACACAATTCTCCAAATACCTGCATTTTATATTCCATATTAATTTTAATCTTATTTTGAAAGTGGATTACCTAAGAAAAATTCGGGTTCAATCGTTGAAAAAAAGTGTTATTTTTCTGTATTCATCTAAATTTATAAAACTGTATGCAAAGTTATTTATGAATATTTTTTCAATAGTTCATTATCATATATTTGATACATAGTTTCTTATACTTACGTCAATGTATAATTCTTTATATACAGTTGAGTAATAATTTTTTTCCATGTTTTAACCGTTATTTATCTTTTAATATTCTGTATTTTATAATATTCAACTCACTTTTATCGTATTGTGCACTAAACCCATACTCGTACTTGATTACATTTTCAGGAACTGAAAGTCACTATGCGTTTATTTGGAATTTTAATCAAGTCACATTTTTAAAAAAAGTAGTTCAGATAAATTTTGTAAAATAACCGATTAACTATTCATTAAGCAATTGCTTTTTCAAGAGATGATTTCCTTGTAGTGTAATCCACGTTTAGAAAAAGCATCCGTTTAAAGGGGTTTAAGCGGTTTATAAGCGTTTTGACGAGAGTGGCGCTGTGGCAGTGGCTCTTTAAAAGCGATGAATGTTTCACCTTTGGTTAGTTCATAGAAGTATATGAGATGACACTTACCAAGATGTTCATCGTAAGATCATTTTGTTGTATTCAAAAATATCAATTACACTAGTATCGCATTTTAGTATAGAAACCTTATCCACGATATTTTAGAGTTATTCAAGATTAATGTGCATAACATATGCGCACCATATATTTATATTTTTATTCTTGACAATTCATACAAGAGATTCATTTTACATCCGAAGTAGAATGCAGTGCTAAAAAAACTTTTAAAAATGATCGTGTAAAGATGTCTGGATATTATACGTACATTATCAAATTATATGGATAAAATTAATTTTTTTTGTCATTTTTGTTCACCACAAAAATAAAAATTTTGCATAAAATACGTCTACCATAGCTATGTCCACAGATAGTGACAGATTATATTGTTATATACCGATAACCTAGTATAAAGTATTGAACAATTAAAATATAATAATTAAAAATAATGAAAATTATACCGGCAAACGGACGCATGACGCTTGATATTGCGAGCGAGAAGACAGTACAGCCGAGATGTGCACTATGTTTCTCGAGGCCGGTGTTGGGCATACGTCAGCGCACATAGGCCCAATTGTCGCTTGAGTGTATGTGTGGGTGTGTGTGGCCAACATGCGCCCGAGCGTTGGATCGGACCCGCACATATATGTGTCTCGCACATGTGTACCTGCGTGTGTGTGCGAGCCGAATACAGAGAAAGAAAGATACACGCACAGTGGGGAAAACCCGTGGCCTACTTCAAAGTGATACAAAGAAAGAAACATAGTCGCACACGCGCTCGCAGGTTCCCTTTTCACCGGGAGCTTGACCCCTGGCCACGGGTCAAAAAGCGACAAAAAACATGTAGTTTATCTATTGAGGGAAAAACGTCCAAGATATGCTCTCGCCGAGAAGATGCATGAATGAGTTAGTATATTACCGGCGTAAAAATTTGGCCTCGGGGCAGATCATTCTATACCGTTGAGTAGAACAAAGACTGATCGATTTAATTTCGCAGTAAAGCGAACTTCTGTTAAATAAAACTCCGGTTTATTCTTCACATTGTACAAAGAACATTAATTAACATTACTGAGAGCAAGTGCAATTAATACTCCACGACAAGTCGAGTCTGTGCGTGCAACGAGTTATTGGTATAAATTGTAAAACTCGAGGTAGCAGCCAAGCAGCCGGGTACCAGCAGCCCCAGCCACTCATCAACTCGATAGACCGTCATTATCAAGATCTTCTGCCGCAATAGTTTGTAAGCTTTGTTCAAATAATATCAAGTTTTTATGTTTATAATAAAGTCTTGTGTGTGAACCTCACTCAAGCATTTTATACTTATTCCATGTTCCTCCCCTCAGACAGCAACGTTAACAATTAAATCAAAATAATAAAGTTATTACCTACAGCAAAGGATATATAACAATACGTAATGTGGAGCCATGTTCACATTTCGGAATGATAAATATTAGGAATTATGAATATTCGGAATGTGTAAAATTCGGAATGTTTGAAAATCGGAATATTGAAAACGGAACGTAAAAAATTCGGAAAAACAAAATTTCGGAATAAAAAAATTTCGGAATTAAAAAACTTCGGAAAAAATTAAAATTCGGAATCCACAAAATTTTGAGTGGAAAATGTAGGCTATAAAATTCCCCACTAAAAATTTTGTGGATTCCGAATTTTAATTTTTCCGAAGTTTTTTAATTCCGAAATTTTGTTTTTCCGAATTTTTTACGTTCCGTTTTCAATATTCCGATTTTCAAACATTCCGAATTTTACACATTCCGAATATTCATAATTCCTAATATTTATCATTCCGAAATGTGAACATGGCTCGTAATGTGCAGATCTTTTAATTTATTCCCTAAAAATTAGTGAAAGATCACCGTCAATCAACCGTCACTGTCCAGATTTTTAAAAGAGGATTAGATTGCGTTCGTGACACTTTCCACAAAATTAATCTGCGCGTAATACTCTTTTGAGTGAAATATAGTACGATCTAATAAGAGTAATCTGAATAAATTCCTTTATTCTCGACTCAGTATTTTCGGTCCGCGTACAAATCGGAACAATTGGCAATATACATCTGTTGGTCTGGTGGTGGGAAGTCGAGGCGAGTTAGCGCAAGCGAGAAGACACCGTAAAGTGTACAGTTTTTGCAAAAAGTTTTGGTATTGCCTGGGCTCAAGGCTGAACTTAAAGTTTAGGGTTTGACATGAAAAAAGCCGTGCCCAGGAAGTCCAAAAAGTAACGGGAACCGGTCTCGATATATTTTCAAAGTTTAAAATTGTGAGGCAAAATTAAGTGAAGATCGTAAACTCGACGATAGCTTGCCAGTTATAGTTGTATCACTATAATTAATTTAGACAATACATTTTCTTATGTATTTTTGCCTGTAAAATTGACTGGTCAAGTCAGCTGAGCGATTTGATTACATCTAAGCACAAAAAATCGACTTTTCCTCGCTTTTTTTCGTCAAATTTTCGTAAAATCTCTATAAAACCGATAATAAAACGGGTTTAAAAAATGTTAGAGATATGCGGGTTACTTTAAACTTTCTAATCTAATTTTCTCAAGAAAAAATCGAAAATAATCCAAAAAGTACATTTTTTCTGTATTGAATTTCTCGACATATTTAGACCACAATGTTTGATGGCGATTTTCGCGGTGAAAATTGGATATTTCGAAAAATTGAATAATACCATCGGAAAGCTGAGGAAATTTCCTATCAAATACAGTAGTCAGTTAAATTTTTCAGATACTTTTGATACTTTTCAGATATCATTGCATACGTAAAATTTAATGTAATTTTCGAATCTACGGTCAGAATTTTCAAAAATTTATTTAATAAAAAGTTTTAACCAAATTTGTAAAAAAAAACATAAAATTTCGAGAAAAAAGATCGTTTAACTCAAATTTCAACGCGGAAAGAAGGTTCGCTCGTGCGTCTCACGCATGTAGAATTGGTCAATGGCATGTATACTTCATTGTAAAATAGTTATAATTATGAAATTCAATGTGGCGATTATAAATTTGATTCTCAAAGACCTGTATATCATAAAATGATTTTGACAATTTTTAACTCAATGATTTTACGTATGAAATGATATCCTAAAAGTTTTTTAAACATTTTTTAGTCGGTGTAATTCATCGCTATAAATGTAGTCCAAAAATAGCCATTTCAGGCGTTAAAAAGTTATAATCGAATTAACAAATTTTTCACTTCGAAAAAAAACGATTTAAAAAAAATACAAACATCAAAAGAGTCTGAAAGTTAACTAGATAATAGCTATGAAGATATGACTGCTTAAAGATTGAAAAACTCTATCAAAAAAATGATAGCTGGTCTTAAAAACTCAAATGTGAGAATTACTTTACTAAGTTTAATTGTGTAAAAGTTTGAAAATATTTTTCTTGACATAGTTAAAATAAATGTAATGATAAAATTTAATTTCATTTGTAAACTGTAAGTTTGATCATAATTTTTTTTTAAAGGCTTATGGACAATTATCGTACCTGGATGATAATTAAAAAACTACACTGGGTTCAATTCTATTCTCCTTTTTTTTCACCACAAAGTCAAAAGGTCACCTTAGTCAATATCGAAGGTCACTAGCAAACTCACACAATATCCAAAAAATGTTCACCAATATTAACTCACTCGCGTGAATATTGCTTATTACTTGATAGAACTCTTTAAACATGTGAATCTCTCGGCAGCTCGTAAGCAACTGAACGAAACATTCGCACTGGAGGTGATGCTGTGCGATTGAACTATTTGGCGCATGCGTCACTGAGGCATCTATCATAACTCTCCTCATGCGCCTCCCCACTTTCGTGACTCCCTACCTGCTAGTGCGAGAAGATATAGCAGCCGTGTTCAAGGGAAGGCTTCCGAAAAACAGGGGATTCGACGCGTTCGCTATGACGCCCCTCTCTGATTGGCCAGTTGTGGACGGCAAGCGCGTGAGGAGAGTGCAGGCAAGCCAATCCAAATAAACTGAAACCTAAGTTAGGAGGGGGGAGGGGAGAGAGGGGGCGTCTCCTTTTTACGACTTTAATTCTATCACTGCTCGTCGTGGCACAGCGCTAATATTACGCCGAGGCGAAATCGTCGGCTAAAAAAATAGTCTAATGGATCATTTTTACGTCATTCCCTCGGTAATGACACCCTGAATGTAAAAACCAATCTTACCCCTAAGTTTTCCAGCACCAATTTGTTAAAACTAATTTTTTTAAACAAACGAAGAAATTTTGAAAATTTTCCATTGGAACAATAATTTTTGTTGCGATAATTTTGATGCGCAAAATGGTAGTAACAAAATAAAACTCATTTGCACCGATATTTAGCGAGTCGATAAAATCTGGGCGCAAGAAGCCTTTCAAAAATTCGTTTTTTTCACACTTAGATACAGTTTTCAATTTGTACCTTATAATTTTTGTTTACAACATTTTTAGACGCTCTCACGAGGCGAATGCAAAAGACCGCATCTCGACCTGTCTTACTGTTTAAAAAACGAAAGGTCTATTGATTCATTCTCTAGACTATAAACAATTGAGTTGCCATAAAAACTATATTACATAATTATTAAGTCCATATCTTACCGTTAAAATGAGACGTCGATGAGCTCGATTGCTGCAATACGAGCCAAGTTACAGAAGTTGATAGACAAAAACAGGAGGTATTCCTATAAATTTCACAATAATTATTGCATAACTATTTTTAGTGAACTGATTTTCCATTTATATATAATAATATCTTTGTTTTTTTTTATGAATTTGCTTATAACTTTATAAGGATAATTTTTTGAAAAAATTAAATGTGCATTAGAAAAAACGGATTGAGAAAACACTTTTGATGCCCATAACTTTGCAATGGAACGTTAGTATACCTTGAAAAAAGAGAAAGCCGCGAGGTAGGTGCATGAAAATGATATTTTCAGTTAAAACATGAAGTTTGAATTATGTAAAGAAAATATTATTATGCTTCAAAAAGAATTTATCGCAAAATTTCTCCATACGATATTGATCGTTTT